TACTGAATTTATTAAATGATAACACGCCAGAAGTTATCACTACGTTATTAGACTCTGAAATCATACCATATATAATAAAGGTTTTACCGCTAGATGATTTAATTGTGCGATTACTACTGATGGCAAGCGAAGAGGGGAAAACAGAACAAAGTAGCACTGTTATTTCATTGATGCCTGAACTGAAACAAACATTTGATAGTAATCTCACATTATCCGCATTAAATAAATGTTTATTGAAATTGGGTGGATCCGGCACAGCACCAAGAAAAATAAGTGCTGCATACGGATTCACACCAGCTCAACGCCGCAAAATAATCTTTGGGGTTCTTACATGGCTTAATGAAATAATTCAGCCGAAATTGGATGAAGCAAATTATAGCAATTTAGATGGATACCTAGCCGAATCATCAAATTTCAAAGTGTTGACCGAGCGAATACTTCCTATGCTGAATAGCATTAAAGAAAACTCCGAGAATTTCAAGCCGTTGAGTGTACTTTTAGTCCATATGCATAAATTAAATCCGGATTTATTCGAAGAAATATTGTATACGTATGATCAGCGAATTATTCAGACTGTTGGAGGTATCGTTGGTTGGGAAGATGAGTTAATAAGTGGTGAACGAGAAATCGAGCATGCAGTCCATCAGTTTGACGAGGATATCGCTTTGATGCCTCAAGAACCCGAGCAAGCGCTGCGGCAGCAAGAAATGCAAAAACGTTTATATGAAGAACAGTTGGTTAGCCAACAACAGCAGCAATTATTGCAGCAACAAGAAATCCAAAAGCGTATATATGGAGAACAATTAATCAATCAACAGCAGCAACAATTGAAATTAGTAGAACAACAGCAACAACAACAACAAGAAACAATTCCAGAAACGATCGAAAATCATGAACAAGAATTTGACACTAAAAATCCGCAAAACTCTGAACGATTATTATTGTTAGGTGATGAATTACAAAATCGGCAAGAACAAGAACAGCCACTAAAACAACAGCAGCAAGAAGAACAGGAAGAACTTGAGATACAAAGAATAGAATTAGAAAAACGGCGAGAATGGGAATTACAACAGCAGAAACAACAGGAGCTTGAGATACAAAGAATAGAATTAGAAAAACTGCGAGAATGGGACTTACAGCAACGAGAATTTGAGGAACAACGGCAACGCGAATTAAAAGAGCAAGAACAACAGCAGCAGCGTCGTGAATTAAAGGAACAAGAACAACAGCGGCAGCTTGAAATAAAGCAAAAACAAGAACTTCAAAAGAAACGTGAATTAGAAGAAAAGCAAAAACGGGAATGGGAATTAGCAGAGCGACGACAACGTGAGCTGCAGCAAAAACAAGATCTCCAAAAGCAACGCGAACAAGAACAAGCGGAAAAACGTCAACAAGAAATACAGAAAAAACAA